GTTACAATATTAATCAGTAAGGACGTGGCGTTCCAATTCATTAAAAAAATAAGTAATAAAAAAGGACGCTACCTCCTCTTGCAATGCACCATTAACAACGCTCACTACACACTGGTCAATATTTATGGTCCACACACCGACCAACACACCTTTCTGGATCATATCCTAACTCTAACACAGGCGCACCAATTTGGAGAAATCCTAATAGGGGGAGACACCAATTTCCTTGTAGACTCAGATTTAGACTCCACTTCGACCATGAAAATCTCACGAACTACATCACAACGTAGAATACGTGCTACGACTCTTATTGATAACACCCTCAACACTCATGGCTACACTGACATATGGAGGACCCTTCATCCACTAGAAAGAGACTACACACACCACTCCCTAGTACACAATACATACTCCCGGATCGACCGCTTCTTAGTCCCATCAACACACATATCACGAATTTCCAAAACGGAAATAGGCATGATAACATGGTCAGATCACGCACCTATAACGATTTCGATAAACACAATGCACCCTACCACTGGCAACCGCACATGGCGACTTAATGATACCCTTCTCAATGACCACAAACTGGTCTCACAACTCACAGAAGATTTAAAATCATATTTTACTATTAATAACACAGAGGAAATAGGAGTGGAGACGCTTTGGCAAGCGCACAAAGCGGCCCTCCGAGGCCAATGCATTAAACACGCCAGCTTTAACAAAAGGCAACGCACGAAAGCGTATACAGACATACACATGGAACTTGCCACCCTCACCCGCACAAACAAATGTTCACCATCACATAGTACCACGAAACGAATTCTCCACCTACAGGCTAAACTAAACGACCTGGAACTAGAACTAGCCAAAACAACTTACTTACTGACTAGAATGAAACATAAATTCTTTGCAGAAGGGAATAGAGCAGGAAAAATCTTAGCTGCCCACCTGCAAACCAAAACCACATCCTCCAAGATAGCTTATATACTCACTAAAGAAGGACACAAGATTACCAATCCACAAGAAGTAGTGGAAGAGTTTGGCAAGTACTACAGTAGCTTGTATAACTTAGCTGGAGAAACTGGAAACCCTACACCTAATCAAAAAGACATAGATGCTTTCCTGAATGACATACAATTACCATCCATTACCCCGGAAGATTGTTATAAACTGACACAACCATTTACAATACAAGAGATTATAGATACCAAGATCCAAGGGATTATGGCGTTATATAAAAACCCTACTGCTCAAGTATACCAATCTGGATTAATTTCCTCTCCATTCGGCCTAACTAATGGAACTAGACAGGGGTGCCCCCTATCCCCTCTCCTTTTCATCCTTGCATTAGAACCTCTAGCTCACAAAATCCGACAAGACCCTCTCATTATGGGTATACACATAGGACAATCAAACTACCGATTATCAATGTTTGCGGATGATATCTTGCTCTCTCTTAGCAAACCAGACGCTTCTCTACCCCGCTTAATGGACTTACTACAGAATTATGGCTCTATATCATACTACAAGCTCAATAGTAATAAAACACAGGCCCTACCGATACATATGTCCATGGCACAGATACGCACATTACGCCAGGCCTTCAACTTCGATTGGAGACAAAAACACATTATATATTTAGGAGTGAAGCTAGCTTTACACACCCCAAAAATGGTATCTCTTAACTATGGACCCCTGCAACATACCTGCACCTCATACTTCCAAACATGGAAGCACATCCACCTGTCGTGGTTGGGCAGACTCAACACTATTAAAATGGTGTTACTACCCAAAATCCTTTATGTATTTAGAATGTTACCTCTCAATGTCCCAACACATGTACTGAAAACCTTACAAACAACCTTAACTAGATTCGTCTGGAACAAAGCAAAAGCCAGACTGCCTCAATCCTTACTCCAACTCCCGCAAATGATGGGAGGTCTCGGCTTCCCAAAACTAGCTACTTACTATGAAGCCTCCATCCTTGAATCAGCAATTCGTATCCATGCCCCCAGAAACACATTTCAGTGGGTCGACATGGAGCAAGAAAAATTCTCTCGGCACCCCATGCTAAACATACTATGGTCCCCCAAAATATACAGACCAAAGAAACTCCCATTATACCCCACCACTAAACTGACTATACATATATGGGACAAACTATTGACCACCATATCTGAGAAAGGAAAATTCTGTATATATGCCCCGTTAGGGGCACTGGAAGGAGTGTCAGACTGGCTGTCACTAAAACCCTGGGCTATGTATGGCGTTAAACATATCAAAGACCTCTGCTCCCAAACCGACCTCATGGCCTTTCCTACACTACAGGCCAACTACAAGATACCCAGCTCCTTTATGTTCCAATACATACAACTGAAGAGCATTGTGCACACCAAAGTGACATTGAAACGCCCGACAACTCCACCAAAAGGGACCCACACATTGACTATCATTACAAGATGCCTGCCGGCACCGACACAACCCAAATCTCTATCCCTATGCTACAAGACCCTTCTAAACCACACACCACCACATGCTTTTAATTATGTAAAACAATGGGGGAAAGAGGATATGCCCGAACTCACTGATAACCAATGGCTCCAGTCACTGAATGCTCTAAGAGGCCTCACTTCTTGCTTCTCTCATGTGGAGGCACACAAAAAAGTGATATACCGGTGGTACCTTACCCCACAAAGACTGCATCAAATATACCCTACAGTAGACTCCAAATGTTGGAGATTTTGCTTAAAGGAAGGGACCATGACCCACATCTGGTGGGAATGTAAAGAGATCAAACCCCTGTGGTTACATGCACAACAACTGTTAGGGAAAATACTAGGGTACAAGGTTGACCTAACACCGATGGTGGCGATCCTATTGCTTTTCCCACCCACATGGAAAAAAGGAGCAAAGAAACTGGCCTCCACTATCATATTAGCAATTAGAAACCTCATTGCTCTACATTGGCGGAGCATATACTGTCCAACACACAAAGAACTAATGAACAAGATATACCAATTTTATAGATATGAAGTACTTTCCTCAGATTCCCATGCAAAAACACGGCTCACGGAACAGCTATGGGAACCTTGGCTTTCACTGATACACTACCATCCACCATAACCTACCTAGACCAATGCAGAAAGCTGATTAAACAAGACGAACCATCCCTAAAGAAACAACCCACACACACTGTGAGAGACGATACCATATGACCCAGACTAGGGACACGCAATACCTAAGTAGGGTGATGTATATATGTATATATGACTGTTTGGAATGGCGTAGATATCTAAAAATGTACAATGTAAGCTGCTGTCTGAACGTTTATGTTCTCAATGTGGTATATTCATCCGTGTCAACCTCATTATGTATGTGTACCAATGTCGATCATATGTATGTTACAAAGCAAAGAATAAGATGTCTTGACCGAGATGTTTCCCCCTCCTCCCTTTCTTTTTTCTGTACCCTCATTTTCCTTTTCTGAAAATAAAAATTTAAAAAAAAAAAAAAAAATGGCGCTTTCTCACACTCCGGTAAGCTCTTGACAAAGCCGCATGCTGGCGCCGAAACGCGCGTTGAGTTTTACCGAGACCACTGGGTCTTCTACTTAGGACGTCTATCCGTTTCTTTGTATACAACCGAGAGGGGGGTTTTGCACTTTTTAGGACTTAGGCTTTCAGCTCCTACTTATTATCTATCCGCAACCCTAGGTTACTTCTAATATTATTTAGAAATAGCAGCTAAGCGACTTTCAGCAGATATCAGGCTATGTAAATATTTTATGGGTAGATTTCTTGGGCTGGCGATACATTAGGCCATTTATTAGGACTTATCCTGTCCGTATACAGCATAGATCAACTCAGCATGCTGTAGGTAGACAGGGTTCACGTACAAGTATCCAGCGATCTGGATCGTGATGGGCTTAGATTGATCGGTATAGAAAATTTACAGTTGTTCTCACTTAGGTCCGGCCGGACTCATTTGTTATCTATTTTTTCTTGTTCAATATTATAGCCTTTTTTAAGGGTATAGGGACTGATATCTAGGAGGACCATTTTGTAATAACATTTCAGTCTCTTTCTTTTTTGTATTATATTTTCTGGGTTATGCCCTAATACCCTGCAACCTACTCAACTCCAGTGAAGGACTTTTCTCTCTTTCACTGTTGCTGTGTTTTTTCTATAAGACCATACCTTGACTATGTTGTGCAATTCTTTAAACCTGTTCTAAAGAAGGATATTATGGCACTAGAAAAAGTGCAGATACTGGCTACAAAATTAATAAAAGGAATGGAATGTTTTAGTTATGAATAAAGTTTAACAAATTTAAATCTGTTAAGAGGGGATATGATAGCATTATACAAATATATTTGGGGGCCATATATATTGTCTGGGAATTTATTCATAGACAGGACTATACATAGGACAGAAGGTAACACATTTAGACTGGGAGAAAAGAGATTTAATCTAAAGCAATGGAAAGTTTTTTGTTTTTTTATATAGTTAGAACAATAAGGATGTGGAATTCTCTACTATTCAGCTTCTTGATCTAAGGAGAGAAATGAATGCCATTCTGGGGTCAAAATTAATTTTTGACTTGTTTGTTTCAAAATTGATAAGCATATCAAACTGTGTGTTTTTTCCCTTCTTTTGGATGAACAGCAAAAACAAATGTGAGAAAGGGTGAACTTAATGGATACATGTCTCTTTTCAGCCTACGTAACTATGTAAATATATGAACCCGTGACATAATACATACCGTATATACTCGTGTATAAGTCGATCTCATGTATAAGTCGAGTGCAGTTTTGTGACCAACAATTGTGAAATATGCTATGCCTCGTGGATAAGTCGAGGGTAAAACTTGGGGCTATGAAATTCTGTGATTTTTATAATTATATACACACACACTCATACAAACACACACTCTGCATTATATACGCACACACTCATACAAACACACACTCTGCATTATATACACACACACACTCATACAAACACACACTCTGCATTATATACACACCCTCTGTGTATATAATGCAGAGTGTGTATATAATGCAGAGTGTGTGTTTGTGTAGTGTGTGTGAACTAGGTGGGGGGAGGGCATTTTTATTATTTAAAAAACATTTTTATTTTAATATTATTATTTTTTTATTATTTTAATCTTTTTTGTCCCCCCTCCCTGCTTGTTAACTGGTCAGGGAGGGGGGCTATCTTAATCCCTGGTGGTCCAGTGGCATGGGCTGTGAAGTGGGGGGGGCCGGCAGGAAGCATTTACCTGCAGCTCCTGTCAGCTCCCTTCTCCTCCGTTTCGGTCAGCTCCACTGTGAGTCTCGCGGTCTGGTTGCCGCGCGGATCGTTGCCATGGCTCTGACGGCCACGGCTCTCTAAGTTGCCATAATACAGACAGTGACTCGAGTATAAGTCGAGTGGGGGTTTTTAAGCACAAAAAATGTGCTGAAAAACTAGACTTATACTCGAGTATATATTGTATAGGTCGCTTAATGCAGTAGTAAATATAAGCTGGTTAATGTAGTTATAAAAATAGGCTGCATAATATAGTGGCAATGTTACTGCCTCACCAGTCAGACCACCTCAACAATAATTATCTCTGGGCAAGACACCTAGTGATATATGGCCACCTACCTCCAAATTATGAGAGGAACAAGAAGTGAATTATACTTTGCCTGAATTAACAAGGTTCACACCAGATGCTAGGGAACCAGAGCAATTTGATGACAAGTGGGCTACGTGTACTGAAACACCTGCAAAGAACATGGACTGGACCTGCCTTAGCCCAAATGGAAGGCACCACAAAGAGTTAATGAGAATAACAGGGCTAAGGTCCTGTGGCACTTCCAGGTCCAGACAGCCAAGCAAGTACTGTGTAATCAGCCAAACCTCATGGTGGTAGACAAGGAACAGAAGACTGCAGTAGTGGTGCATATGGCAATACACAGTGACCATAACATAAAAAAAAGAAACTTAAGAAGGTAGATAAATAAAGAAGCCCAAACTTGACCCTAACTCCCCATCCAACTACCATCCTATCTTGCTACTGCCTTTTGCATCCAAGATCCTTGAAAGAGTTGTGTATGCGAGATTGACAGACTTCCTCGAGTCCAACTCTCTGCTAGAGTCGCTTCAGTTTCCACGCTAAGCACTCTGTAGAAACAGCACTGACCAAAGTATCCAATGATCTACTCCCTGCAAAATCTCATTGTCACTACTCTTTCCTAATTCTCCTTGACCTTTTTGAGTCTTTTGACACTGTTGATCATCAACAGCTTCTTCTCATACTCCGCAATATCAATCTACAAGATATTGCTCTCTCCTGGTGCTCCTCCTACCTCTCCCAGAACTATTTCAGTGTTTCTTTCTCTGGCTCTGCTTCTTCTCCTTAACTCTTCTCTGTTGGTGTCCCCCAAGGTTCAGTCCTTAGTCCCCTACTGGTCTCCATCTATACTGTCTCCCTTGGTAAACTCATCAGCTCCTTTTGCTTCAAAATAATTTCTATGCGGATAACACGCAAATCTATCTGTCCTCTCCTGATCTCTCCCCTTCCCCGCTACTCCTGTGTTTGTCTCCCTCAAAGTCAACGGTGCAACCGTCAGCACCACCACACAGGCTTGCTGCCTAGGTGTTCTTTTTGACGCAGACCTCTCCTTCACGCCTCATGTTCAGTCTATCGACAAATGCTGCTGCTTCAATCTCAAAAACATTGCGCGCATTCAACCCTACTTAATGCCAGATGCGACAAAGGTGCTGGTCCATTCCACTGTCCTTTCTCGCCTTAAATACTGTAATCCACAGCTTAGTGGTCTTACGTGCTCCCAACTTGCGCCGTTACAGTCCATAATGAATTCAGCGGTGAGGCTCATCTTCCTGTGCACCCGCACCTCCCATGCCTCACCCTTCTGTCAGTCCCTACATTGGCTTCCTGTGAGATAAAGGGCTCAATTTAAAATTCTGGTTCTTGCTTTCAAATGTTTCCATAATGCTGCTACCACCTATCTATTCTCCCTAATACACAAGTATGTCCCGTCTAGGCCCTTACGCTCTGCTGAAGACTTACGTCTATCTTCTGTCCATACTCCCACCTCTGATGCTCGCCTTCAAGACACTCAGACTCCCAGGCTTTTGGTAGAGGACCCAAGAATAGGCAATACAGAAAAAACACCATTTGGACGGGTGAGAAAGTATGTGTTTTGGCCTAAAATTTCAAATCTTTCTTTATGAGCCACTTTTTTAAAGTTACTCACCACTACAAGGCTTAACGGTGTGAATTTCCATATGCAAAATCATTGTTATCACTCTTCACTGGCTAGTAATGAGTAGAAATGTTGCAATTTTTGACTAAATGCTTCTTTGCATACAAATTCACATTGGTTACGGCATGCCCCCCTTTTTTTTTTTACCAATTTTTTACATCAATTATTGATTGATAATGTTGGTTAAAACCATTAATAATGAATGAAAAGTAACACACTGATTTAGAAAATAAAATGTTTTGTGTGTAGGGGATTAGAAAGACCCAAGTAAATACTCTATTTTGTCTAATTTATAATTGTGTATCAACATCCTGGTGCAAATTAGATATAATATCACTTATACAATTTCATAATGTTTCAGATATTGTTAGTATTATATTTTTTTTCTGGGTAAAGGATGGCCGAGTAACAAAGAAAAATAGGTTTATTGAGTGTTTGACAAGAAAGTTGACATTATAAATTGTGGTCCTTGTCGCATAACATGCTCTAAGAACTCCTCCATGAATGAGTTTAATTGCCTGGATAAAACATCCTAAACATTAATTATTTTTCTTTAGAAGTTATAAATTAAAGCATGCTTCAGTGCCTAACTTCTTTAAAGATTTAAAACTCCGTTATTATTTAGGACCATAAAGAATAATCCTTTTCATTTTATGTTTTAGTTTTCATATATTCAGAAACTGCTGTCTTTGTTGATGCTCATTCAGGGACAGAGAAAAATCTCAGTAATACCTTTTATCAAGTAGTGTATGAATTAGGTAATAGGATTCTTTGAAAGCTTAGCTAAATATAATGTTAATTTTGTTAAAGAAATTAATCATAAATAATTGGTAGATTTTAGATTAGAAACAATGCACTAACATTAGTTTCTCTGTAGCTAATGTAAATTAATGCATTTATCATTATTTTTGAATGTTATATTTAGCATTCTTTTTAATATTGAATACCAAGAATGATCTATAAGACAAAGTTTAACAAGAAACTTTAAAATTATATATGTGTTCAGAAAAAACAAAATAAAACATAAAAAATGAATACTGATACTCAAAATATATAGAAATGTTAAAATGTATTCTCTGCAAGCCCTTCCCTTTTTCCGCAACACAGACATTTAGTGCTTGAACAGAAAATTCCAACCAGAGGCTGCTCATTGAGAATAATCTGTGTTGGAACATTCTGTGTGCATACCACACAATTGTGAGTTTTCTATGCTTCTCAATGAGCTGCAATACAGCTCACCAAGAATGGAGAAGGCATGCATTCAACAGTATAATGCATATGCTGCTTCCGTTAGCTCTGCAAAGCTAATGAAAGAGGAAGAAAACCTCCCTGGCTTTATAATCAACCGTCAGGGTCATGTTTCTGCCCAATTAGAACAATGCAAATTTATTCTCAACTTTAATAAACTGTCACAAGTATGACATGATCCAGACACATACAGCTCTTCAGCAAGCTGTTCCTTTAAGCAGATTGTATATCAGGGTGGGAAAAAAAACAAAGAAGTGAGTGTGAAGGAATACCCCATCACTGTTTGGCTATTTACCTTCGATTACCATCATGTTCCAGTTTTGTTCGTTATTTTGTATGGTTCCTGAACCAAGACCACCCCAAAGACCAATTAGAACATGAAACGTTAGTATCTTGTACGAAAACCACAGAGGAAATCATTAATAGAATGCTGCACTGGGTGGCCGCCATTTCGTGCATACAAATACACGTGATTGGGACAATGGATGGTGGCCATCTTGTCTCCCGAACACTGCCAGTGGGACCTGGTCATCGAGTGCCTGGAACTCATTTCAGCCAGGCATTCTTATGAACACCGGTCTCTATGGATCTACTCTCCGTTCTCATTTCCATTCACCTAGACGAACGGCGTTCAGGAGTTCCAGAATACCGAACACAGGGAGCATTCTCCACAAACCAGTTCGACTATATCTTATGTGGTTTTCATGCAAAACCCCACGAACAGAGACCAGCTCTTGCCACACTTTCCATGGAACTATTTCTGGGCTTCAACCTGGTCGCAGACTGGTCAAATCTTCCCTGCGGTGCCGATCACAAACAACCAAACAGATCTGGGTGATTTTTGGATATATTGTTCCCCCAGATCCAGGTTACCCAGGTTGTGCAGTTCCCATGTATTTTGGGGGTACTTTTGGGGTGTTGTAAAATTGTACCTTTTTCTGTACCTGGAGATAATTGAGTTTAGTATATTCTCTGACTTAATAATCTCCCAGATTCAGAGGAGGAGTTTGCAGACTGTGTAAATTTGATGCCTGTTCTGAGGGGTAGGAGAAAAAAGTGGAGTCAGTTATAAGGACTAATGGGGAGGGAAATGAGCTAACAGTGGCCGAACCATTGACTCAAGACAACATAGAATCTTTGTAGAGATGGCAGAGTGTTTCCTATAACATTTACATATGTTGGCAAGGGGGAGTTTGCCCATTGGGGAGCACTAGCATATTATTCTAAGTAAATGAAATACTTAATAATATGGTTTTATATGCAAAAGTTTCAAGTTCCTGTCCCCTTCTGTGCTTTGGAAGGAGAAGGGCATCATAATTCCATCTAGGTCCCCTCTCCCCATATAAAAATAAGGAATGCAGTTTAAATCCTTCTAAAGAAGGAAAGAAGAATGAGAAAAGATTAAAAAAATGGGAGCACTACATCAAATTCTACTTTAGCAAGGTGATACACATTTAATGTTGTGTTAGGTATAAATATAGGTTATTAAAATAAAGTCATTTCTGTCCTTTAAAATGCAATATATAATATGTATGGTGGCACTTAAAGAGAAA